CAGGTGTTTCTAATTTTTTAAAAAAGAGAAAGGAATCAAACTTAATGCGAGGCTAAATCATTCAGCCCAGTGTTGTTGTTTTTTTCAACTTTAGAAGGTGTGGGTGCCAACCAAATGCCAGGAATCTTCATCTTAGCTTAACTCCAAGGAAACAGATTCCTTTTCCCATTCCATTTTTGTGACCAATTAAGTAAGTGCAAACTTGCAACTTGAGTAATGAGGAGCTTGCTTGTTAATGCTGGCAATTTTAAATTGGTAGTCAAAAAAATGTAAAATGAACATCATTGCTTTCCTTTTTTTAAAAATGTAGGTGAAAAAGGGGTTTTAGTACAAGTTATGAAGTTGGTCAACCTGCACTGCTAAAATGCTGCACTCACCTATGGTGTCCCTACTCTGCCTAGAAAGCTACAGTATGTTTTTATTATAGTATTATGGAGGAAACATAACAGACAAAAACACCCAAAAAGAGCTACAGCAATTGAAGTATGGGATGTTGGTTACAATTCTGCAATATCTCACAACAGAGAAGCAGTAGGTGGGCAGTCTTAAAAGCCCCCATTTGAGTGTGCTGGGAATCACATGGTTGGATCTGTATTTTTCTGACTTCCAAAGACTGCAATTCTGTTCACGCTTTGTGAGAAATAATAGTAGTCATCATGTGCAGTCAAGTCAATTCTGACTTTTGTTGACTCTTTCCAGGTTTTTCCAAGTAGAAAATACTCAGAAGTGATTTACCATTCCTTTTTTCTGGGGGTGTCCTGAGACTGCGCAGCTTGGCCAAGGCCACACAGGCTGGCTCTACTCATAGGAGATACACTGGGGAATTGAACTCCCAACCTCTGGCTCCCCAGCCAGATACCAGACCCAACGAACTATCCAGCCAGCTTTCCTAGGAGGAATTTTTTCCAAGTAGAAAATACTCAGAAGTTATTTACCATTCCTTTTTTCTGGGGGTGTCCTGAGACTGCGCAGCTTGGCCAAGGCCACACAGGCTGGCTCTACTCATAGGAGATACACTGGGGAATTGAACTCCCAACCTCTGGCTCCCCAGCCAGATACCAGACCCAACGAACTATCCAGCCAGCTTTCCTAGGAGGAAGAAGCCCCACTGAAATCAGCATGAAAGCATGCATAGGATTGCACTTCTCTGAGCTACAGTTAGCTCTGTTTGTGACTCCTCCTCTTTTTGTTCAGTCTCTTCAACTAACTAGGCTTTCTCTCTTTATCAGTCTCACTGGCACATCGACCTCAGCTAATCCAATGTACCCAAAGAAGGGAAGTAACTCTGCCCAGCATCCCCCACCCCCACCCCACTCCAGCCTATGCTGTCAAGAACTGAGAAGTGAAGAAAAGTTTCCTGTAAGAAAAAGAAAAGAGATCAGGCAGTTACTCACAAAGAGAGTTGATGAGCAATCAGGGATGTGTCATTTTCATGGGACAGATGGGAGAGAGAAGACCTGGGGAGATGGGAGGCATTGCATAACTTGACAACAGTGCAGTGGACTACAGCTCCCAGAATTCCCCAGGCACCATGGGGGTCACGCTCACTGAGAGTTGTGTGGAGTTTTAGGCCGAAAGGAATATGCTTCCATGCTCAGTATATTGGGAAAAAAAATCCCTGGATCAACCCAGAGGTTATTACCAGTCCATTGAGCTGAAACACAGTACCAACTCCCTCTGAAAGCCACTCGGTGTTTTTAAGCAAATAGATTTACTATTAATTTTCAGGAAAGAAGGGGTTAATAACGGGAGAGCTAGAAAGAGGGGAAGTTGTTCCACTATATCCCTCCCTCCCTGTTTGTTTGTTTTCCTTTCACTTCTCTTTTTCCAGCCACCTCCACAGTGAGGGTCCCATCCCATCCTATCGGCCACAGGAAGCAGGTGATCATAACAAGCGCGCTTGGCCACCAGCCACCAGCCTCTTCCTGCCTGCCGTGGTGGACACTACTGCAGCCCCACGTTACACCCACGCATGTACAAGTGGATTCTAAAGCAGAAGCAGAGGCAAAAAAATGCTGAGAGATGATTGTTACCTGTTGCAAGTCTGGTGGCTTCCTCCATTTTGCAACCTGAGATCTGCAGGCATTCAGAGGGTGGCTGGAGAGGATCTAGGAACTGTATTCCAAAAAATTCAAGCTCCGTTTCAAAGACACTTCTCCTTTCATCAGCCACAAAGCTTCAAGACCCAAGGTTTGTGGAAGATTGTGCAAACCTTTTCAGTCATGCACCCCTTTGATGAAAAAGACCAGCGGGTAAAATGACTGGGCCCCTCAGAATGTGAAACTATCCTGTAACTCTTACTGTAATAATCATGTGCTGTCGAATCAATTCTGACCTACAACACACTCCTTTACAGAGTTTTCTAGGTAGAGAGTATTCTAAAATACTCTTTAGGGCCAGTGGGGGAAGGCTGGGACTGTACAGGTTGCCCAAGGCTACACAGGCTGGCTCTCCTCCCTGGAGGCACAGAGGGGAATTGAATTCTCAACCCCTGGCGCCACAGCCAGATACATGGAGCTATCCAGCCAGCTACTGTAACTCTGATCAAAGAGCAATTTCCTCTCATGGCAGCTGCTAGGGGCTGATTCATTTTTCTGGCTCCCTACAAGAGCCCAATTTAAATTAAGGATCAGGAATGAAAACACCCTTCCAGCTGACATCTTGTTGTGCAGCTGGTCACACAATCAGTGGCACAGACTGTCTTGTAAGCAATCCAAAACCAGGCATACAAAAGGACAGCTGACGTCTTGTTGTGCAGCTGGTCACACTTCTTGTTGTGCAGCTGATCACACAATCAGTTGCACAGTCTGTCTTGTGAGCAATCCAAAACCAGGCATACAAAAGGAGGTTTGTTCAAACAGGGAGAACTGATAACACGATTGCTTTTCTGAAACTGCATAGTGTGACAGAATACTGCTCACTGGGTTTAGTCTTTCAACACCAATAAGGAAAGGTTAGAGAGTGAGCAGCAGTTATTTTGTTAGGCTTGTTGACAGTTTGGAAAAGTCATTTTAAAAAAGTAACTTGTTCCTGTTAACTTGTAGCGCTTAAAGAGTGAATCACTGCTGCTAATCATTATTCTGCTGACAGAACAAAAGTGTTCTGCTGCTAATGATTATTTTTCCATTGCTTTTAAAAACGATTTTAGATTGCTAAGAGATTGGTGTGAAATTTGGGGGTGAAAATCTTATGAAAATGCCTTTAAAAATAGATCTTTAAAGGTAAAATTGAAAACTAACTGGCAAATCTTACTTATTCAAATCTATAGGGTAAATTTATTCCACTTGTTGGTCTAATTCTAAAATGCAGCGTTGTGTCACTCTTCTTACATGACAACTCATTCCAGGTACCATAACTCCATTACTTGTAACTGATAACTTCTGAAACCTGGGTCTGTCTACATGTTCTTCACACATTCCTGGTTATTAAGCAAAGAGGTAGCAATTAATTAAAAACTGCTGGATAGCTCTGTGGTTAGAGGTTGGAAGTCTGATTCCCCACTGTGCCTCCTTTATGGGGCTGTACTTGATCCATAGGCTCCTTCTAGCTCTGCAATTGTAAGGTTGTTATAAATTCATTTTCTGAAGTCTGGAAATCAACCGGCTAACGATAATATAAACAAGCTTAAAATCTTTAGATATTTGAAAGGAATCAAAGAGAAGCTTCATATGAAAACTCAGGAGCTTCTGGAAGCTATATTGGGTTGGGTTGCAAATACACGTGCTCCAGTGGCCAGGGTTGACTCCTACGTTGCTTCATATTTCTTTCTCAATCTGTAAGTAAACTAATTTAAAACAAAACAAAAAAAGGTGGGTTGGAGAGAGACAAAAGCATATTTAATAAATAATAATCATGGAGAGTCAAGTCAATTCTGACCTATGATTAGCTGTTTCAGGTTTTTCCAGGTATAGAATCCTCAGAAGTTAATTACCATTCCCTTCTTCTGGGGGCACCCTGCAGTCAAGTCAATTCTGACCTATGATTACCTGTTTCTGGGTTTTCCAGGTATAGAATCCCTTCTTCTGGGGGCACCCTAGGATTGTGTTGCCTGCCCAAGAAGTCTTCTTGCAGGAAGCACAATGGGGAATTGAACTCCCAACCTCCCAGCCAGATACCTAAAGTACTCAGCTATCCAGCTGGCTAAAGGCATACCTGTACTTGGGTAGTATGAAATCCATGACATCACATCTGACAAGCCCCATGGATTTCATCGGGTCTGCTCTAAATCTGGATTCAAACGACAGCCTCTGGTGTACACAGGCATGCTTTTGAATTTTTTGACCACTCCACAATAGGTGAAGTATCTTTATCTAAAAGGTTGGTGACAATTGTTTATTTTGGACAGGAACAGAGCAAGTGAAAGGTATATCTTATCTAGTATGGAGCAGTCAATGTAATAGGGAAAAGTGCTCTCAATATAAAAATATAAAAAGAACTGAACAGAGACATGGGGTCCCAAAGGAGGTGGGGTGGGAATGATGAACACCCATCTCTGGAAATGTTAAAAATAGTCTAAACAAATATATTTCTGGAAAAACAGAGGTTTGGGTATGATATACCAAGAGCTTGGCCAGACCACCTGCAAAGCAAAGGTTGGAAAAGTTACTTTTTAAAAAAATATATAGCTCCACAATCCTCCAGCCAGCATTGCTAATGTGGTTTTATTTTCTGCCCATGAGTTTAATTTTTTTAACAGAATAAATCAGGGTGCATGCACTTGAAAAAAAAATATTAGAAATAAATTTTAAAAGAAAACATACTGTATTTGTATTCAGGATCTCCCTATTGTTACAGTAATAGAGTTTGTGCCCTTCTTCTCCTTGATGCAAATGGAGATCCTTTGAGTGTGCATAAAGATCATTCAAACAAGTAAGTCTCCCAATTTCGGGGCCAGTAGTAAACAAAACCAAATCAAGACCAACAAAAAGGGGGTCACTCAAGATATGTCAAAATCACAACTTTATCCCCAATCAGTGTTAATCTGGCATGGCTTTTGGTCTGCTGCTCCTTCACCAAAAATATCCATGGAATGTTATTAGTGATCCTGAGGGGGGTGGGGGGTGGCTGACCCTCTAATGTTAGAATATTGTTCCCCTCCATGCTCAGATCACAGGGCACATGCCCACATATCCAAGCTCCTTTTTACATCTCCTAATTCCATCAAGTGTCCTTGTAAAGAGGCCTGGGTCAGGAGTCTCTCATTTGAAGCAGGTTTACTAATTCTTGCTATTTCTCACTTCACAATAGGTGAAGTATTTTTACAGCGGGAAATCAAACTCCCAACCTTTGTAGCTGTGCTGGTGCATGTCTAGTTATAATTTAACTTTCTCCTCCTTTTAAAAGGCGATTTATATGACTTTCCCAATTTTTGGCACTGTACTTTGTGGGAGCTTCTGCAATGCAGCATTCTCCAAGCTTCGTGAGACTACTTTGGGATTATTCTAGTTGTAGTTCAATACATCTGGAGGGGGTCAGTTTGGGGAAGACTGGTTTAGTGGCAAACTTTCAAATAACCAAACAAATCTTCAAAAGAATAAATGTGAACTAGGTAGGTATGCCTTGATAAAGAACCAGAGGTCGTGGAGGCCAGTGACTCCAATATTGTGGATGGGGACATTAGCTTTGGGTTTTAGTCCTAACGTCATATGTGCTGTCCAAGGTGCTGAACTTTATCCCTCAAATAGATTCACCACCTTGGGTTAGAAATGTACATATTGGTGTTTTTGGACTACACTTCCCAGAATTCATTGCTGCCTGGGGAATTCTGTGAAGTATAGTCTAAAAACACACATATGCTCAACTCTGCCTTTGGTCTCTTCTTCAAAGATTGGATTAACTGAGGGTGGATTCAGTACCACATGTAAAATTGGGGTGACCAGCCACCAATGACCAGAGGAGCAGCAATTCTTTGCCACATGACCACTCTACTGCCTTGGCTCAGTGAAGGACCCCACAGGCATTAACAATTTCCTATTTCCTGGACAGAATAACACACGTACACTGTCACTTTTGCCTTTACACCTCAATCTACCCCTGCTTTCTCTCACATGTATTAGCACCTGTGGATACTTCAAATGAAGTCATGGGACTTTACCCTGCATGGACAAATTATTCCCACTAACAGATTTACCACCTGTCATCCTACCCTCTAGCAAGGGTTAAGTAACTTATGACCCTCCATTGGTTGTCCTTCCTAGGGTTAATGGAAGGGACACGCCTCCAACATCGGGACAGCCATGTGTTCATGCCTGTTCAATCCAGTCAGATTATTTTAGATTTTATCTACCAAGTTTCAATAATTGAAAACCAAATTTGTACATGTGCAAAAGAAGATCTAGCAAATGATGGAGATACAGTACTGCTATTGAAGCAACTTACTTCTGGTCAAAAATAGTCTGATAATCTTAACATTTTAGTTTGGTTTAACTTTATATTTCATATATGTCCATAATTTTAAATTGTCCAATGCTCTGATATTTAAAAGACGTTATTCTCTCAGAATGACATCCTCTAATTCTAATGGAACAGCTATTCTTTTTATTACAAATATTTGTTTTCCTCTCCCCCCCAAGTCGAATAAGGATGAGCTCAAGAAAAGTGTAAAGAAAGAAGAGTGTCCCTATTTGCCTCGATACAGCTGCATGTATTCCAAAGCTCTCGCTAACTGAACTGAAAATTCTTCATTTTACATAACAGTAGCCCACACTGCTGGAATAGGCATCTCCCACATTCACTCCTTTTATTCCAAACAGCTGATGATCATAACTTGCCAACCCACTTCTTACAAATTCCAGATCAATGCACATTGCTAATAAGAACCATCAGGCTCCCTCTCTCTCTCTCCCCCCCCCACGCCCCAAGTACATAAAATCACAGCAGGAATTGGCAAGAATAGAAGCAGGTCCCAGTGCAAGCTGGCCTCGAACTTCAGAGATCACACTGTGTCCTTGATTATTCCAGCTCTGGAAGGATCCTATTCATCCAGGGAACAACCAGTCAGGCAGAAGGGTACCTATTCCCTGCAGCCCTTACACCGTCAAGTCGGCTCTGGCTGAAGAACGAGAAGATCGGCTGCTCTTGGTAGAGCTTTTATGGTGGAAGTGAGCCTTGGGCTCAAAATGGTTGGGAACCCCATTGTGGGATGCTGTCCCATTCACCCCTCCGTCTGTGGGAGCCAGAAAGTTCTGAGATTTCTCTTGCTTCTGATTGGACCAATTGTCCTGCTGTTCATAAGATGCTGTAGCAGTAGGGGCAATAGTGCGGCACCCCCTGCACCGGTTCTTGAATAAAAGATGAGCCAATTCAGCCAGGCTGAGAAAAGCTGAAACTAGACCCACCATGAAGTAGAACTGGATGAAAATGGTCTTCTCGGTTGGCCGAGAAACAAAGCAGTCAATCAGATGAGGGCACATATGATGCTTGCAGATGTACTGATATCCCACTTGGAAGCCATACAACATCCACTGACCAACGAGAAAGCCCATCTCAGCCAAGATTCTCACCACAACGTTAACTATGTAGAAGGTCTTGATGTTTTGTGTACGTTGGCTGGTCTGGAGCTCATACTGGCCTTGAGTTTTCCTGTCTCCCCTATTGGCTTCCTCTTCACCTGCTTCCATTTCTTTCTGACTACGGTTGATCTTTGTGGTCTGGTGCATAGAGTAGATGACGAAAAGGACAGCTGGAGCTGAGAGCACCACAATGTGGAAGACCCAGAAGCGGTAGTGAGAGATGGGAAAAGCCAAGTCGTAGCAAATCTGTTTGCACCCGACCTGCTTTGTGTTGCATTCAAACTCCTCCTGCTCATCGTCAAAGACATCACTGCCCACAGTGGCCAGGATAAGGATGCGGAAGATGAGCATCACCACCAGCCAGAAGCGACCCACCATGGGCGAGTGCTCCTGCACTGCGTCCAGAAGGGAGCTCAAGAACCCCCACTCGCCCATGGCTGCTGCAGGGGGAAAGGAAAAGGGAGACATCAGCTTCACTGGAGTTCCCTTCCGAGGCAAACAATTTTGCTTATGCTTGGCACATGCAGTTTGGCCAGTGGTGTAGTGGAACTAAGGCTTACAGGGTTGAAGTCCCAGGACTTTCTGAGCTGCGGGGGTTGTTATGTCAACTTCTGTCCCTTCAGGCTTTCCTATTCTGAGAATAATAGTAATTGTCACTGTAGTCGGGAGAGAGGTTGTGAGAGATAGATAGATAGATAGATAGATAGATAGATAGATAGATAGATAGATAGATAGATAGATAGATAGATAGATAGATAGATAGATAGATAGATAGATAGATAGATAGATAGATATATTGTTGCAAGTGTACCTGTATTCTAATGCAAAACATTTGGTCTTCAATAGGCAATTAAGGGCCATTAGCTTCACAAAAGACTTGTTCCTCATTTGTCGGTGTGGCCTAATTCAGTGGCTTTCAAGTTTGGACTCCCCTTGAAAAAGGGGCTGACTACAAGAACTGCCATGAACCTTCAGGGGCGCAACAGTATTTATATAGCAAAAGTCTTTCTCTGCAACTTGCACTTGACATTTGCCACAGAGGCATCACAGTACTGGTGCCCTCTCTGTGCAACACCCTCACAAAAGAGATGGGCAATTTTTAGATGCCAGGCAAAGGTCATTCTCATGTAGGAGGCACTTAATCCTACATGTGTATTGTGATCTATATGTTCATAATTTCAAGTTTTTAATGCTCCTTCTGACAGTTTGGCTAATTTATTTTTGTCGTAGAATACGTGATTTTTAAAATTGCTTTTTTTCTTTGTAAACTACTATAGGGGCATCACTAGCCTGGCGGTATATAAACATTTAAAGCAAATCAATTAATAAGATCAGGGCAGGGGTATACTGGAAACAAAGTTAAGTACTAAAAACAAAAGCAGTATGTATTGTTAGCAAGAATTTTTTGGTGGCAAGAGCTGAATCTTATCTAATGATTGGCAGCTTTTATTTGAAAGATTGCCATGACTGCACATATCGCTGAATGGAGGCTCATCACCAGCCCCCCCTCTCCTGGCCTTCAGGGGTGCAACTGGTATTTATATAGCAAAAGTCTTTCTCTGCATGCTCTGGTCTTCTCAGGAACATTGGGGAAATATGGGTGCTGGTTTGCATTTGACTAAGGAGTCTGGCCAGATAGCTAAATGGTTTAGGTCTCTGGCTGCGGGGACAGTGGTTGGGGGTTCAATTCCCCACTGTGCCTCCTTGAAGTACAGCCAGCCTGTGTAGTCTTGAGCAAGCTGCACAGTTCCAGGGCGCACCCAGAAGAAGTCTAAGCTACTTATGAATACTTTCTACCTGGAAAACTCTGAAAACTATTATTAGTACTTTCTACCTGGAAAGGATTGGCATAGGCCAGAATTGACGATGGCCCATGATGATGATTATAAGGAATCTGTCATAGGCCAAAATTGACTTGATGGCCCATGATGATGATTATAAGGAATCTTGGAGTTAAAATTTTAATGCCATCATTAAAAAGTTTGACCAGCATTCCCTGCCCGTTACAAGCAGAGACACACCGTCGTAAAGCTGCCTGCCAAAGTGTTGGGAGCCTGACCCATGATCAATGTGTGTGTAGTTATGGAGCAGGAATTCTTCTGCTCTTCTCTCTAAGGTTCTCTGAGACTGAGCCAGTGAGCACTTAATGCCTGTGTTGGGGAGGTCTCCCTTCCTCCACACCATTCTAGCTCTGAATGAGCTGTGAAAGGGGTATGACCTTGACAGCACCACTGAAACGGGTTAGGGGATGCTGGCGGATGTTTTATGTCTACTGCCAAGTTATCTGGAGAGGGAAGCAGATAAAGTCCAACCGCTCAGGTGCAGCCAGTCTGGGCTGGCTGAGCAAGTGAATAGCTGCCTGAGGACAGACTGGCATATCTAACCCGGAAGGCACTCTCCCCTTGGGGCTGATCAGAGGGATGGAGTCCTTAGAGAAAATGAGTGCGCATAGTACATAGCTTACATAGCTGTGTTTTCCAGTGGACTGATAATTGAGACATGCTTATCTCCAGAGTTAAATTTGCATGCTACTCTCGTGCCACTAAAAAGACTGCCTTTTAGAACATGTAATAACAAGGATTAAGGAAAGCCAGTGTGGTGTAGTGGACAGAACAACAGACTAGGATTTTAAAAACCTGGGTTCAAGTCCCTGCTTGGCCATGGAAATTCACCAAAATTTTTACCAATGGTAAAATCTGTGCATATCTTGAAAATCTTATTAGGGTTGCTAGGAGTTGGATGTGACAACACATAACAAAAGACAAATAATAAAAATAAGCTAACATGCAGTTGTTGTAGGTGTTTCGGGCTGTTTGGACGTGTTCCAAAACACGGCCAAACAGTCCGAAAAACCTACAACAACCCTTGGATCCCGGCCATGAAAGCCTTTGAGAATAAATAAGTTAACATAATTACAGTGGTACCTCGACTTACAAACTTAATCCATATTGAAATGGCGTTTGTACATCGAGGAAAGATTTCCCATAGGAATGCACTGAAAACCAGTTTATCCGTTCAGGCTGTTTTTTGTTCATATGTGGAGGCACTATTCGTAAGTAGAGGCATTAGTTCCCATAGGAACTAATGCAAAGCCGGTTAATCTGTACCCTACCACTAGGGGGTGATTTTTTTAAAAAAATTCTTCTTTTGACCTAAGATGAACTTAGGTCAGAAAAAAAAAGGCATGAAGGTTTTTTTTGTTCGTAAGCCAAGGCTCCGTTCGCAAGTCGAAGCAACATTGTGCAAACGGAGCTGTTCGTAACTTGAAACGTTCACAAGTGGGGACGGTCATAAGTCAAGGTACCACTGTACTCCTTATGTTTTCAGCAAAGAGTTCCTCCTTTGGGTGTGCCTTGTGCCTGGAAAGAGGAAAGCCCCAAACAGAAACTCATGCAGAAGTGCAAGACCAGGCAACGTCTTCTGAGAGAGTATAATTCAGTTATACTTCGGCTTCAGGGGAGGCTGGACGTCCTGATCACATTGGATGCGTACTAGAATGCAATGACTCAACCCAAGCAGAAGTAAAGTGGAAGGAGAGAGAGGTCAGATCATGCAGAGATGCAGCAGACGGCCTTCCTTTCTAGGGAAAAGGCTTGCCCTATAAAAACCCTTAAATTGTGAATTTCTTCTGTCATACATTGCTGGTCGTCCTATACACAGCAATGAAGCCTAGCCTACGTTTTGGGAACTGCTGAGACATCAGTAAAGAACAGAGCATCCATTTAAAAAATACAGGCTAGACTGGACACAAAGGAGGCACCACGGAGGAGCAAATGGGAAGGGGTTAAGGCAGCCACCTGGAAAGACACTCATTTTTACCCACTAGTTTTCAATTGAATACTGTATGTTTAATAGCTTTTAAAAATATTGTAACAAGTTATTGATTTTTTAGCTTTAAATATTTTTTTTTTAATATTGTAAGTTGCCCTGGGTCCTCTTGAGGAGGGAAGTGGCATATAAATGTTTTAACAACAACAACAACAACAACAACAACAACAACAACAACAACAACAACAACAACAACAACAACAACAACAACAACAACAACAACAACAACAACAACAACAATAGCAGACTAGGCTCCTTTCCCTTTCACGGCTGTGCAGAAATTTCAGCAAGACTAACTTGTCATGCATGCTCCGCCTACCGTAGTTCTGCCTTCTGCACAATCGGTACAGCTGGAACATCCATTCTCAACCTTTTTTTGGCAATGGCCCATGTGAGAGAAATAGAGGCTGAAACGGAAGTTGTGTAACGGACCATATAAGATGATGTCTGGAGACTTGTTTCCCGTCTGTGGCCCCTTTCATAAGGGCCAGGGCCCCCCAGGGGTCCATATGTGGCCCCTGTTGAGATTGGCTGGGCTAGAGCAGTGGTTCTTAACCTTTGTTACTCGGATGCTTTTGAACTGCAACTCCCAGAAAAACCAGTCAGGACAGCTGGTGGTGAAGGCCTCTGGGAGTTGCAGTCCAAAACTCCTGAGTAACCCAAGGTTAAGAACCAGTGGGCTAGAGTAGTTCAGTTCAGTTTTTCATGTGGCCATCCTACAAATTGTTGGTACCAGAAGGGGAGGGAAAGGAAGCTTGTCACTTTGTGATTGCGGTGCTGGTTGTTCAGCTGCTGCACAACTCTAGAAACTCAACAGGTACAGCTTTCTTCTGTTTGTTGATGCAATATGGGAGAAACTTAACTGGTGACAGTGTTATTTGCGTTACATTTTTAAAAACATCCCCTAAAGAGAGTATGGACATCTTCCTGCTGAATGTTATCCTGGGCTCCCTCCTTTACCTTTGAGTAAAATAACAGTGCAAAGTACAAAAACTCCTCACACTTTTCAATATAATCATCATCATTATCATCATCATGATGTGCAGGCAAGCCAATTCTGACTTATGGAGACCCTTTCCAGGGTTTTCCTGGTGGAATGTACTCAGAAATGGTTTAGCATTCCCTTCTTCTGGGGGCACCTGGGGAGTGTGCAGGTTGCCCAAGGCTACACAGGCTGGCTCTCCTTGAAAGGACGCGCAATGGAGAATCAAACTCCCAACCTCTGGCTCCGCAACTAGATACCTAAACCCCTGAGCTAAAGGCAGCACATTCTAGCTGTAAATTTCCACCACCTTTTAATAACGGGGCTGGTACTGAGATGCATTTTGCCACCCAGCTTGCTTCCAAAGTCCTCTTTCTCAATGCCAAATTTGTATTGAACACATCTCCCGTTCTTGTAGGACCAGCAGCAACAAATTAGTTGTAAAGAGAGCTCTGAGACCTAATGTTATTCAACCATGATGAGGCTCTCTGAATGACCTTGAGCTGCTTGCCGTTTCTCTCAGTCTGGTCTACCTCACAGGGTTGTTTTGAGGATTAAAAAAAGCACACATAGTTTTTTTTTTTCAAATATAATTGGTTAACTTGGTAAAGTTCTTGGTCAGGAGATAGACAGATAGGCAATGCCAGAGCTATCTCACTTTCGCTTTCTCCTATTTTAATCCACTGTAGCTGCAGTTAGTCCACAATATACATCTTGGAAATGTTACCGCCTGGACTACAACTTCCAGGGTCTCCCAGCAGTCATGGTGTAGGATTTAAAATCTAACACAGCAACTTTTCCAAGCTCTGAGGACTTGCATTTAGTCACATATAATCAAATTTCCTTAGGCAAAGGACCAAAGTTTGTGAGGACTGAAGTTTAAAAGGTTGCTTTTTCTAGACTCCAAGTTCCAGAATCCCCCAGCATGACCATCGGCCACGCAGGCTGGGCATTTCTAACCCTTATGGTCCCAACAAGTAGCTTTTCCAAAGTTTGGTAAGAGTTGTCGTAACACTGACCCACTGCTAACTTTGGGATAAGCAGATCAGCACATGTCCAAAAAAGGGAAAATAACTCTTGCCTCTTTCAACCTCTCCAGCCGACCTCTAGAATGATGATGCCCGTCTGCTGGCGTGCCCCTTACCTGCTGCCCACCTCTCCGTCTTGCCTAAAGCCGTGTCCCCAGTCCTGCGGTTGCTGGCATTCTCTTCTTCTTTTGTTCTCCTCTTACTAGCTTCACCTCTGGTTAGGACAGTGACAAGGGAGAGGGGAGAGGCAGGCTTTTCCCTGTAGCTCTGCCTGGAAGCTTTTAAAGGGACAGGCCTGTAGTTGCTGCCTATTCCCCAGGCAAAGTGGGCAGCCATGGCCAACCCCACTTGCTCTCTCTCTGCACGGAGGCAGAAGCACCTGCAGTCTCAGGGACCACCAGCAAAACTTAACAAGCCTACTTCTTGCAAAGTCCACTTCTTAAAAGGGCACAACGTTTTTGACCCACTGTTTTTAGGAAGGCAGCCAGTCTACAACAAAACAAAGCAGGCAGATTCCCCCAAAATGAACCTAAGAAAAAACACACTCACCTCTTTTCTTTCCTGCCATCTCATGGTTTAAGATGCCTCTCGTAAAGAAATTGGGGCCACGAACTGTGCCTTAGGAGGAAATTTGGGGCATTTGACTTCTCAGAGTGAGCTACTTTCTCTGTCTTTTCCTTGCCATCATATGAAGCTGACAAGATAAGAAACAACAACCACTTCTCAAAATCTCAAGGACAAACCTTTAACATTTTAGCTAATCAACCTGTTTCTTCCAGAAGTGCTACTCTCTGGGAATCCAGGAAGAATTGTAGACATGCAAAACAGCATTTGGCCATATATTTAGAGATTCAGGATCTTTTGTTAAATCTATCATGGGGCTTTCCTAACACAAGAATCACAGAAATAAGTTAAAGGGGTCATCCAGTGCTCATCTAGCCCAACCCCTTACCAATGCAAAGAATCCCTGCAAAGTGGCCATCTGGCTCCTGCTTAAAAATCTCCACTGAAGGAAAGCCTGGCACCTTTCGAGACAATCTTTGCTACTCCTGAGCAGCTTCAATGAATCATCTGCTTTTTCCTTGCCATTTGAACCTGTCACTCTCAGTTCTATCTTCAGGCGAAACAGTTGTAAAGTACTTTCTAGATGTTTTGGACTACAACACCCATCGTCCCCAGACAGCCTGGCCCATGAATGGCAGGCTTATTCCATAATGTTGGAATGGGATCGCATTACAGAAAGCTGCTCTGAAGCACGAGAACATAAATTTGCCACATCACCTATGGGGCACCCATTCAAATGTCTGAAGATGGAAGACCTGAAACAGCACAGAAAGTCCTCCAGCAAACAAGCAGACTTCAAAAGACCCTCAAGGCATGCTCCACATTGGGCAAAGAAGATGGAACACTCGTGTAGGTGGTTTATCATATTGGAGGCACAGGATAACTCCTGGAATTGTTTGCTCTCAAACAATTACCTTAACTTAAACAGTTGTTCTGGTGGCCTTATCTTGGCTAGATTGGGTTTGCTAAAGAAGCAATATCATAATACAGAAATTAATTTTCTGGACCTGACAATAAAAAAAGAGGCAGGCAAATTATATAAGTAAAGGTTTCCCTTGGCATTTAGTCCAGTTGTGTACGACTCTAGGGCGTGGTGCTCATCCCCGTCACCAAGCCATAGAGCTAGCGTTTGTCCGAAGACAGTTTCCGTGGTCACGTTGCCAGCGCTACTAGACATGGAAAGCCGTTACCTTCCCACCGTAGTGGTACCTATTTATATACTTGCATTTTTACATGCTTTCGAACTGCTAGGTTGGCAGGATTATATACCATCCTCTATTAAAAAAAAAACACAGATTGCAATTCTTACTTAAGATTTGACGGTTCACACCCTAAACCTTTAAGATATAACCTTCCATATGGGCAATTCCTTAGAATCAAAAGGAATTGCATTAAGAGAGAAGATTTTATACAAGAATCTCATTTATTAAAAAAAACAATTGTCAGCAAAAAGCTACCCAGCACCAAAGCTATCCAGACCAGAAGGAGTGATATTGTGCATAAACAAAATAAAAATCCAAAGAACTGTATTAATTGCGTCCTCACATACAACCATGCCACTGATAAAATACTGCATCAAAACCCATTGGCATATCCTGAACCATATACCAGGTTGCCTAGAGAAACCACAAATCTCTTTCAAAAGAACTAAAAATCTTGCTGACATTTTGGTTAACAGTGAATTTAAAGAAAAATGCCAAAAACCAGGCTTATTAGTTGCGTCCTCACATACAACCATGTCACTGATAAACTACTGCATCAAAACCCATTGGCATATCCTGAACCATATACCAGGTTGCCTAGAGAAACCACAAATCTCTTTCAAAAGAACTAAAAATCTTGCTGACATTTTGGTTAACAGTGAATTTAAAGAAAAATGCCAAAAACCAGGCTATATCTGGAGGAGATCCCTTTTCCATCAGGACACCATCCATGTGGGCATTGTGTCTACTGTAAGAACACCAGCAAGATGACAGAAAGCGAGGTTACTTACCTGTAACCGTTGTTCTTCAAGTGGTCATTCTGTGAATTCACACAAAAGGGTTAATCCGGCGCTTGCGTCGGTCCTCTCGGAATATTCTAGAGCTCTGAAAGAAAAAGTAACAACGTAATGCAGCCCCTATTGTGCATGCTCCCACCCGCCCTAGCCTCAGTTCCATTTATTCGTCCCAGGTATAAACCTCTGGACACACTCACAGTGACAGATAGAGGGGAGGCTGGGCGGGATTGTGTGAATTCACAGAATGACCACTTGAAGAACAACGGTTACAGGTAAGTAACCTCGCTTTCTTCATCGTGGTCTTCTGTGAATGCACACAAAAGGGTGATTAGCAAGCTTACTCACCGGACGGTGGGATGTCACTGTAGCACAGATGTCAGCAGGGCTCTCCCAAAAGCTGTCTCCTTCTTGGCCCTGAGATCAAGCCGATAATGAGTAATGAAGGTCGATGGTGTCGACCATGTGGCTGCTCTACAAATATCCGGGACATCAACGCCACGCAGGAGGGCCGTAGAAGACGCGACAGCTCTAGTAGAGTGAGCACGCAAACTATGAGGAGGAGACCTGTGTTGAAGTTCATAGGCCAAGGAAATCGTGCTGACAATCCATCGAGAGAGAGTAGATCGTGCTGCCGGGAAACCCTTCTTTGGACCAGAGTAACAAACAAAAAGCCGAGTAGAAGCTCTAAGGTCCTTAGTCCTGGACACATAAAAAGCCAAGGCTCGTCGCACGTCAAGGGTGTGGAGCATGCGCTCGATATCAGACGAAGGTTGTGGAAACAAGGTCGGAAGAGAAAGAGG